ATCCTCAGACTTTACAGTCTAGTGTGAGAGAGGAAAAACACCCCTCTTGATAATTTAACATAAGATGCTGACAAAGCTCTAAGGTTTCAAAGAAAGGACCAATCACATCCATTGCAGGGATCAGGACTGAGGCCTTAGAGATCACAAACTAACCCTACAGATAGGCCCCGGGAATGGCTCCCTTGGGTGCCAACCCAGGCAGCGTGGAGAGGGCTGTGGAGAGTGGGTGACGTGCACCCCTCTTCTCTCATGAATGCCATTGGTTTCTGTTGCAAACGGTCTGTCTTTGGACTGCTGAGGTGGCTCGGTTGGTGAAAGGTAACAAGCCTGATAATCGAGTTCGGTACTTGAGCCTACATGGTGGAAGGAGAGAGAACTGCCTTCAGTCGGTTGTCCTCTGTCTCTACACACTTGCCCTGAGCACTCGGCACCTCAAACGGATGAATCGGGGATGACGCCTAAGATAGACGTGAATGATGTGTGGGGTCGTGGAAACTAAGTGTGCAGGGAAGGCTATCCCCTCCCTCGGTGAAAGCCCAGAAACAGGAAACAGTGGAGTGTGTCTAGAAATGGAGGGTAGCACTCCGTTAGCATAAGCGGTGTGTGCAACAGAATAAAAGACAAGACAGGAGAAGTAGTCTAGGGCCATAGCATGTAATGTCTGGCATCTTCAAACTGCAAGGCTTCATAAGCACTAGAATTCTTATCAACTCTCGTTTCTTCTTGAGTAAATGAATAATGGAGTGAATAAAAGATTCCTTCTGAGGGAGAAAAAAAAGCAACATTCTACGCCACTGTGATGGCTCTCAACCCAAGAGAGCATGTGTGAGGGGAGGGGAGAGAAGGCCACATACACACACAGTGTCACAGACCTTACCCAGTGGTGCTCATTTGAGCACACTGCTCTAACACTAGTAAAGCAAAGAGTATCGGGCCAGCTGTCATTTCTGCAGGAGAATCATCAGCGACCGGCTGATAGTGTTACTGGCCTATCGTCAATCTTATGTGCCCCGTGCACTCTGTGGTATTTGTCACTGTTAACCACTTTCTCAACCTTTGTCTTCCGCAGCTCATTTTATTTCTCCTCCCAACTGACCCTTAACAACCTGTAAGTTATTGCTCCCCCGCTGTCTGCGCTGTAAAGATGGCCTCCACGCTGTGTCTGCGTCTGTCTTCTCACGCCTCACCACGTTCTCTCAGCTTCAAACTACCCGAAAATGCTGTAAAATTCTGTTTGTGATCCTCCAGTTTTTTCCTATGCCTCAGATTATTTCCAGTCGTCCATTATAAGTTATTAGCATATCCCACAAGCACATCGAAGCTGATGTCTGACCCTGAGCTCATGTTTTTCTCCCTCTTCTGCAACCTTCACCCCAACACACATCCATCTACCCAACCTTCTCTTGCTTACTTCATACACAATGTCATTCTTTCTCACAAAACTGGATAGCTTAAACCTTCCTCAACATCTGCTTGCCCGTGACAAGTTCTTTCTCATCTGATGGTCTCTATAAATCTTTTTGTTATTGTTGGTGGCCCTTGTCTCACACGGGGTCTTAGTCTCAAAAACTCTGTGTCTTTTAACACAAAACTTTTCTATGCAAACTTTTCTCTTACTCCTTCTGCCTTATGTGTCCTTGTCAACTCTTGGTCTTTTGTCTCCCTAATGTTCTATGTGTCTGCCAGAATTGAACTATACCCATGTCCTGATTCTGTCTGAAAACTTCCTAAGCCATTAAATCCATAAGACAAAAGCTAATATCTTGGAGTAAGCTCTTCCACAGTCTGGACTCTGAACATAATCTGCCTTGACTCTGGATTTTTTAATTCTGTCCTACAGCCCTTCAACTCCTGTCCACTCAATTCATACTCCCCAGATGGGCCACGCTCCTTCACATGCTATTCCCACAAGCTGGGACCTCCTTAGGAACCTCCCTAGGGTAACACCATTAAATGCCTCTTCAGGCATCTACCACGTTCTGAACACCATTCTAAGGCCTCAAAAACAAAAATTAGAAAACCCCCCTGTCAATGATCGCAACCCAGAGTAATGGAGACAAATATGTCAACAGATAATAGTAATGGCCTGTGAGATGCACAAATTAGAAATATGCAGAAGGAACAGGAGCCACGCAGAGAGCAGCTGATGGTGGGGAGGTGGACAAGAAAGTGTGTCAGCATCTCTAAGACAGATGGGGAGAGGTGGTGCCAACATGGCCCAGGGCATCAGGCTGAAGCAGCTTCCCCATAATGCACAAACAGAATCAGAGGAAATAATCCAAGCAAACCTAAACACGATGGAGATAGTGAATTATATGTGCTTTCACTGCAATTAAATTTTTAAGTTGTTTTTTAGAAGTACAATTGGGGAGTTCCAATGGGCAACTACCTACCTCTCCCACCTTTTCAACATATGAACTCTCTCCCTGTCCTTTAGACTCAGATCTCACACCTGAGAACCACACTCCTGTGAGCCTTGGGGACTATCTCAATGAGAACCACACTCCTGTGAGCCTTGGGGACTATCTCAATGAGAACCACACTCCTGTGAGCCTTGGGGACTATCTCAAGCTGGGTAGCCTTCATCTTTGCTGGTTCCTATGCAGACCTCTACACCATAGTGTATGGAAACTTTTCTTCATGGCTCTGTTTTTCCTATAAGCCTGTGAGGTCCTTCATGTCCGATACCACTTCTCAAACATAGATCCTACTCCTCTATAAAAATTTCTGTTGCTTGATTAATTCACCTACTATGAATAAACTGTCTTTCAAACTCCACACTAATGGCTTTCCATACACGATTTCCTTTCACCCTCACAGCCACATATATGTGTTGTGTGTATATACATATACACATACACATACATATACATATGCATTCTTCAGGATATAAACAGTCTAATTTTCATTATTACAGACATGGAAATTGAGAGGCTGGGTACCTTTCCAAAGGTCATACAATTGGAGCAATGAAGTCAAATGGAATTTTAGATGTCAAGATAATTAATATATAAAATTTTGAAAGGAAAAATGTAGAATATAGAAATTTAGTTGACAGGTCATGGCAGAAAAACCTGCCCTGGTCAACAGCAGACTGTGTGCTGCACATCTTGCTGAAGAGGTTTTATATGGAGTAACTTCAACCTTCAGAAGAGGTAGTGTATTGAGGGAGTCGAGTCTTGGGAAAGCTAAGTTTCTCCCTCTGAATTACAGGGCTGAGAAGGAAGGGGCGCTAAGCAAGATCTCTCCCACATTTCTCATTTGACTCTTGGAGGGAGGAGTGGAAAGGAGATGAGGAGATTCTGAGGTGGAGAGATTATTGGGACGTTTGTCAACACATCAGAACCGTGTGACCAAGAGGGTAGAGTGAACTGAAAAGCCCAGGGAAGTTCTGCGGTAGCCCTGTAAGGAGTACTTATGTTGTTTTTAATTCAGGTAAATTTGAATTGAGCATCAGTTAGAGGACCAAACAAATCAAAATTTATAATATATAATGAGCCAAATAAGTGCATTTCATATAGATTCATTTACACACACACACACACACACACACACCCCAAGTTCACATCTTCTATCCCAAAGACAAGGAAAACACTGATATTGTGACATTGTGAGTGGTAGACAGTTTAGGGAGAGCTGAAAAGGCAGACTTGCAAAAATGGCTTCTCACAGATTTCAGTCTGAGGGACCAGGCTAACCCCACCCAGGTTAAATCTATGTCTTCCTATATGAAACCTGAACCTGCTCTGCTATATGAAATGGGAGGAAACCAACTAACGTATTGGATGACACTACACAGTCACAATCTCTAACCTGAGGTGCGACCTTAACACAAACTAGCCAATGGCCATACTTCCACCTGAGGTGTGACCTTAACACAACCTAGCCAATGGCCATACTTGACTTCCTAATCTTGCTCCCACATCTCAGACTTCAACTGTCTTTCTCCTCTAATGATCTCACTTCCTGTTTCATTCACAAAAGACATTCAACCAGGAGACAAATCCCACCAGCAACCACCTCTTACCTGCATTGCTGACCACAGGGTACATCTCCCATCCTGTCACTAAACTGGCAATGCCCCCGACTCTACTGTATCAGATTCCATCCCCTTCCCTTCTCAAATACACTCAGGTATCCCTCCATTAATTTTCCCCTCTCTTTTCCTCTCTAATGGCCATTTTTATCTTCTATTAGATCTTCACAACCAACATTAAACATCAATGGGCTACAGTCTTTCCTCCCTGACAACAAACAAGAACCCAAATTCTCATTTGGTTTCACAGTCCCAGCCAGTTTTCCACTTTGAAAACAACTATCTGGTCTCCTGATGGAATTCTCTCTATAGTTCCCTTTAATTACAATCCCATTTTCCCGAACTGAAACTTTTCCTGTGAAGACTTCGCGTTGTTACGTGCAAGAATCTACTCTCCTCTTTTTCTTCATCTTCTCTGCACAGCTGCGTTAGACAGATGACACCATTCCTCTTCCTTGAAGCCTTCTTTACTTTTAGAAGAGTGGTTCTCAACCTGTGGGTCAAGACCCCAGAGGGTCAACCGACCCTCTCATGGGGGTCCCCTAACACCATCGGAAAACACAGATATGTACTTATGAAGTAGCAACAAGAACAATGCTATTGTTGGGGGTCACCACAGCATGAGGAACTCTATTAAAGGTCACAGCGTCAGGAAGGTTGAGAAACACACCTGTGATTCGTTTCTCATCGAAAGTTCCTTCTCCATCTCCCTCACTGGCTTATCCACGTCGCTTTAATCAAAAGGTGCTCATACACAACACTTTCAACTTTAGAATGAATTACATGGTTCTTTTTGCAGCAGGCAAGCTCTTCAATTGCAGCGTGCTCATCTGTAGCTAAACTGTCATTCTCCAAGCACACACCAAGCTTGCTGAAGGAGGAGTCTCGGAAACACACTGTTTGAGGAGGTGAAGCCATTTGCCGGGCACAGCTACTCACCAGTCCCTTATCTCTTCTGCCACAGCCTGTTCCTGCCATCCAGTTGGATCAGCTACTCTTCCTTTCAGCTCAGCGACCTTCTGTGACCCTAGCAACGGTGACTGCCCTTGTAAGCCCGGGGTGGCAGGGCCACACTGTGACAGGTGCATGGTGGGATACTGGGGCTTTGGAGACTATGGCTGCAGACCTTGTGACTGTGCAGGGAGCTGTGACCCACACACAGGAGACTGCATCAGCAGGTGAGTGCGTATGTCTCTCCTTCTTGTCTATGAGTAGTTCAAGCTTCCAGCAATCGGGCAGTGACTGAATGCCATGAGCAGAGCACACATTGCTCACATCCCTTTAAAAATTATTTCCAACTTTCAGAATAAATTTGTTCTTGCGATATTTTAGGAAATTACTAGCTCATTCGCAAAAAAAAAAAAAAAAAAAAAGCTAATCTGTACAGTAATTTCCCAAAACAGCACTGCTGTCTAGAAAGCTAAATAGTAGGTTTGGACATGATTCATTTTTACTTGAGTTCTAAACGTCTCATTAAGTTTGCCATTGTTTTCTGTTTTGTTAGTAGTGCTGACATAGATTGGTACCACGAACTCCCCGCCCTTCCATCTCCACATAATAAGAGTGAGCCGACCTGGGAGTGGGGGGATGAACAGGGATTCTCTGCACTCCGACACTCAGGTGAGGCTGACCATCCGCTGTCTTATTTCCAAGTCTGGTCTGGAGCAATAGGGATTATGTCAAATCGGGGGACAGTTTGAAGCATTCTTTAGTTCTGAGGTTCAATAAAGGAATGGCCTATCCCCAAAAATGTGAAAGTGAAGTACAGCTGAGGGGTATTTTAATAGACTTTTGGGGTTTTTTTTCTTTCTTCTGGTTTTGTATATTTATCACAAAAAAAGTAGAACATCACAGTAAAAGTTGTAAATCTCCCCAGTGCTTCCTACCAGTTTTGTAAATTGCAAACTACAAACCCAGGCCATGGTTTGTTTACAACCTCCTTTCATTATCAGGAAGAACCTAACCCCTCTGTGGGTTAAGAAGTGCCCATGGTGGTCCCTCCTCCGTTCCCTTCACCCCGTTGGTCTGCACTGACCACAGCTATCTGATTCTGTGATTTCTGGCCCCCGAATCTTTGCCCCCACCCCACTCCACCCTCACCTACTCACCCCCACCCCTACCCGACTCCGAACACTCTGTGTTTCCAACCCACAAGAGGGTGTTCTCTGGTTCTAACATGGCCTGGATCTGTTTTCTTTTCTCCTTTTGCTAACATGGCTGTGTTTAATGCTGAGATGGGGCTGAGGCGATGCTCTCGCTCAGTAAAATGCTTGCACAACAAGCATGAGGACTTCCAATTTGATCTCTGTTGTATGACAAAACTTTTCCAACACACATGTCTATTCACCACAGACAGGAAGTCCACGATACACCAAAATACAGATATCACCAAAGTCCAGCTTGGTGAATCAACAAGTATTATTAGGGCTACTTGCAGGAACATGGATGACAGGATCCTCACAGGAGCAGAAATGACTCAAAGACAGCTGCACCACCAAGGCCCACCATAGCGGGGGTGGCAGCTCACAAACCTGGGGAACCTGGAGCACACTGCACAGCCTGCAGCCAGCTCAACAGGTTGCCGGGTATCCTTGCCAGGTTCTTCCTGCGTCCAGGCAGCGTGGCTACTCTCTGCTGCTTCCAGGAAGCTGGTCTGGTCTCAGGCTTCTTTGTAGCCTTCCCTATCTAAGAGTCTTCTTTGTATCAGCTTCCCATCTGAGGGGTGCTCTCAGCTTTAATGCTTACTCTGTCTAGGCGGGGCCTAGAAAATCTGGTCAGCTTCAAGGACTTCCTGAAACTGTTTTGGGTTGTTTACCTTCCTGTTGAGGGAGCTTGCCCTGCAGGATGGGATGTTTCTATCTCAGAAGTAAGTTCTAGACAACAATCTCCCAGAAAAAGCTTTTAGCAACAAACAAGCAAACAACCCTCCATGGCACGCACCTGTAAGCGCAGCACTTGAGGGAAAGAAGGGACCGACAGATGGATACCTGGGCCTGGCTGCCCAGGAAATCTAGCTGTGATCAACAAGTTCCAAGTTTAGCTGGAGGAACTCTGACTCAGAAAGTAAAGTACAACTGAAGAAGACACTTGACATTGACTTTAACCTCTACCACACAGATACCCTTAATGTTTACACATACATATACACATAAAGCAAGCTGAAAATGTGTCTGAGTATTGTGGTGGTTTGAAAGAAAATGCCCCCCAAAGCGAGTAACACTATTAGGGGGTGTGACTTTGTTGGAGTAGATGTGCCCTTGTAGGAGGAAGTGTGTCACTGTGGGGTGTGGCTTTGAGGTTTCCTTTGCTCAATCTAAATTCAGTAGGGTACAGTTCACTTCCTGTTGCCTGTGGATCAAGATGCAGAACTCTTAGCTCCTTCTCCAGCACCATGTCTGCCTGCATGCTGCCATGCCTCTCTCCCACCATGATGAGAATGGAGGAAACCTCTGAACTGTAAGCTAGCTCAACTTAATAGTTTCCTTTGTAAAAGCACTGTGGTCATAGTGTCTCTTCACAGCAATTGAAACCCCAAGGCAAGTATGAATGTACAAAGCTGTATTGCTCAATCATAATATTTTCCCAACACTTTATTATTTCCAGAGAAACTTAGAGCTGTCATTTAACTCAGTCCACATTTTAGATAGTGAAGAAACCATTGTTTTAATAAATTTCCAGAGGGAACCTATAGCCCAAGAACCAGGAATTTTGGTGCATGATTTTTTTCTGTAATAAAGTTTATTTTAATTTTTTAAAGATTTAAACAAGACATGGTAGCACAACCCTTTAACCCCAGTATTTGGGAGACAAAGGCAGAGGTATCCAAGACCAACCTGGTCTACATAGCAGGCTCCAGTATAGCCAGGATGGCATAGAGTGACACTGTCTTAACAACAGCAAAAAGATTCGTGAACCCAAATTTGAGAAGCACTGGTATTTGCAATTCTGTTTTCCTCACTAAATATGATGTCATAATAATTTCCCTAATGGTGTCATTTTAATTTACCATAGGAACAAGGTAGGAAATATAAAGTAAAATGAGGTTGTGTTATCTATTTATTTATGTTTGAGACAAATTCTAATTGTATAGGTCAGATTGGCCTGGGACTGGCTTCCAACCCCTTTCTCTGGCTCCCAAGTGCTGGGATTGCAGGTGTGCACCATGCTTGGTTCTTGTATTTACCTGAGAAAGAAGGAAAATACTCATGTTATATAGTGCACATTTTGTCACGTTAGTAGCCACTCTTAAAAGTGTCTTCTTCTTTGGTATGACAATGATTTCTACTCTGTAATGGCCTGCTGGACCAAATCTGTAATAATCGGGTCATTTGGACTACGGGACATCCACTAAGCCCATTGTGCATGTTATTAGGGAGATGGCAGCATGCCCAGTGAGCACATAAAGTGTCCCCACAGCTGTTAGGCCTACGATGCCCCAGGGAGCCTCTGGGATCCATCTGGATGAGTTCCCGAGGGAGAAAGACAGAGCAGCTTCAACATTCCCTTTGGTTATAGCTCAACAGAAAAGTGACAGCCAGTTTCTTAAGTGCTTAAAAAGCCTTTTCACCCTTGAATCTAGCTGCCTACCTGTCTCCTGATATACAGTGAACACCATTAAAAGATTTTGACTACAATTATAAAACAATATGCCAACCAATACTGGTATTTGTCACAAAATACTTATTTCTCTCTTTTCCTTCTTTTCCTCCTTCTTTCTTTCTCTTTTTCTCCTCTCTTCCCTCCCTTCCTCTTTCTCCCACCTTCCTCAGTGCCAGAGATGAAGCCCTGAGTGTTTTGTTCTTGGTAGACAAAGTCTTCCTTGACTGAGTGTTTTGTGCTTGGTAGACAAAGTCTTCCTTGACTGAGCTCATTCCCAGCCACCCTCTAACCTATCATTTCCACTTGTGAGGTACAAAATACCAGATGTGAAATCTGGCTTCCCCAATGGCAAACCTGGCTTTAACTAGTACCAGAGAACTGTGAGCAATGTTCATTTTTCAAAATGTCCTAGCGACCTACTGTAACTAAACAGGCCTTTACCATTTCCAGATTTCTTAAGTCCTGGCAAGTGAAAAATATTCTTCTCTGAAATTGGCTCTCATGATATGCATGGCTGGGCGTGAACTCCCAGGCTCATGCAGTCCCTTGGGTTCAGTCTTCTGAGCAGCTGAGACGACACACGTTCCCCACAGAACTCCATCTTGACCGGTGCACACGAGTGCTTAAACTCTAAGTGTGTGAAAAAGGGCTGTTGTCAGGGAACCAAAGACAAACCTGCAAATGACAGATCTGTGTGTGCTGCCCAAAGGACTCTGTGGTGAGAAATGGTGTACACCATTCACCTCCTAATTTCCTTGTGTTTTATGGCAGCATGACAGCCAGCATAGTCTCTGCTTCCATGAAGTTTCCAGAGGCCATGGGCCATTCACTTATAGCAACCTCTCAATGAGGGCCCCTACTGTGTGTAAGCAAACCACAATGGCTGGTTTTAAGCGCCTTTAGCTTCCCTCTCCCGCTATTTAACTCTACTTGGGATTTTCCACTTATAACCCTTATTCTCTTTTCTGTAGCATGGGCACTATAGCTGACAGAGTTGTTCACACCACCTTCCCTGGATTGGCCTTTCTGCCCAGATGTTCTGTCAGCTTTCTCTGGTTCACTGAATCCTCCTTGTCCTAGGCCATTGTCATCTCGGTCTGGTCAGATCCGTTTTTCCCTCTCTCCTGCTACATCTGGGTCAGTGCCTCTCAGTTTTGATATAAGAAGCCACCCTTCCGCTCTCACTGGAGTCTTAGAGAAGCCAATCCAGTGTCCTCTCTGTCTCTGGGACCTACGTGTTGCACCTGTGGTGACTAAGTCTGCACACGATGGAGTTTTTGGCTCCAGGGACAAAGCTGTGAGACCACACAACTGCCCCCCTACGTGGCTCTCTGGTGCCCCACTGATTCCTGCTTTTACTCAGTTCTGATTTCGGCCGCTTCCCCCTCTGACAGCTACTACTACTCTTCGTCCTTTAGAGCAACAAACTAGGTAGGTGATTGCTACTGAAGCCTTTAATACTACAAAGCCACTGGGCAGTGATGGCACACCGGAGAGGCAGAGGCAGGCGGATCTCTGGGAGTTCGAGGCCAGCCTGATCTACAAAGAAAGTGCCAGGATAGGCTTGAAAGCTACACAGAGAAACCCTGTCTAGAAAAAATAAAAAAGCAAAAAACAACAACAAAAAACTGTAAAGCCCTGAAATGCCTACCCCCCTCCGTGTCTCTATTTCTCTTAGTGATATCTCAATCCTCTGTCATTTAACTGAAAACTTTATTTTCATGGCATTCATTTTTGTTCAAAGGTGTTCTGAAAGTCTTCTACAGGGCCTGGCAATTCTAACAGGCACTTCCAGCTGTTGGAGGAAACGGCGCCATCTTTTGTGCAAATGGCCGTCCCAGGCAGGAAGCCTTTTCTTGCCTTCCCAGGTGTAGGACACTCCTCCCACCTAAGCCTGTCCCACCTCTATCTTACACCATTTAACCTTTTTAATACACTCACTTTTTTTACTTGCCACATTGCAAGCCTTAGGCAAGAATTGTACCTTAGTGTTATATTTTTCTCTTTTGACTTTTTGGGGGACCCGCCACCTAGCTCCCAAACAAACCACACATGGAGTCTTATGATTACTTATAAATGCCTGGTCTTAGCTTGGCTTGTTTCTAGACAGCTTTTCTTAAACTTAAGTTATCCCGTCTACCTTTTGCCTCTGGCTCTTATCTTCTTCTGTTTCTGTGCACCTGTCTTTCCTTCCTACTCCGTGGCTGTCTGGGTGGCTGGCCCCTGACGTCCTCCTCCTGTCACTCTCTCCTTGCTGCTCCTTCTCTTCCTCGGTTTCTCTCCTTCTATTTACCCTCTCTGCCTGCCAGCCCCGCCTACCCTTGTTCCTGCCTCCCTATTGGCCGCTAGGCTCTTTTTAGGACCATCAGGTGTTTTAGACGGCCACAGTAGCACAGCTTCCCAGAGTTAAACAAGTGCAGCATAAACAAAAGTCACAAGCCTGAGGATAATATGTTGCCACATTGTGTCTCTCTCATTCTTATGTGCTCTGAATGACATCACCATGCCCAGCAGGCCATAAGGTCTCCAATTACTTTCAATGGGCTTCCAAGTATTTGATTTGATTTTCATTGGCATAACTGGATACATAATATACGTAGTTACTTTTCTACAGGTTTGCACTTTTAGCTGTTCCTTTTTATTAATATGGAGTGTGGACACTGGGCTATTTATCACAGTATCAGTTTGTGCTTTGGAATTTGATATTGACTTTGTCTTCCATATTTTACTTAGGTTGATATTTTATTGGATGATAGTCAATTCTATTTAGAAAGGGAATTTACTTCTCTTCATCACTGCTTAACAGTTACAGATGTTATATGGATCAATAAAGGTGTTACCTGGATTTGCCTACTGAGCCCCCCACCCTCACCCCTACCCCCCCACCCCCACCTGTAACACAATTTTCCATTTACTTTATGCAGGTAAATGTGAATGTAAGGAACAAGTGTTAGGAAACCCCAAGGCATTCTGTGGAATGAAGTATTCATATGGTGAGTTTAAAGTCCTCTATGCTGTGTACATCCTATTCAAACTACGTACAGAGCTTTGTAAGGAAACACAAGGCTGAGGAGAGTCCCCAGCACATTAGATGCTTGGGAAATGGTAAGATGGCTGTTTGTGAGGTATTAAGATTCATGACTCAAGCCGGGTAGTGGTGATGCATGCCTTTAGTCCCAGCACTTGGAAGGCAGAGGCAGATGGATCTCTGTGAGTTTGAAGACAGCTTGGTCTACAAAGTGAGTTCCAGGACAGTCAAAGCTACATAGAGAAACCCTGTCTTGAAAAAAAAAAAAAAAGGAACAAGTTTTGGTGATTCACCTAGGTCTGTTCCCCAATATCCCTAAACATTCTTTTACCATTCAAATTTAAAACAAGCAAAAAATCCAGCATAAAATAGAGGAAAATAAAGTTTTTCTAAATAATGACTATTACTATCTTCAAACTCTAAATGGCTCTATATTTATTATGAAATATGTTAGGATATTTTTTTTTGCCAGCCATCCTTGACTAGTGTCTGAGGCTTTTCAATTGCCCCCACAGTTTATATGGCTGAAAATATGCATTTGAATAAAGAGAAAGTTTTCTCTTTGATTTATTTGATTCCCAAAACCAAGTAGAGTATTTTCATTCTTGGTGTCTAATCAAGGAAAAGTTTACTCTCTAGCACAATGGGGGGGGGTCCACTTGATTTATTTGTTTGTTTATTCTGGTTTCAAGTATTTATTGAATGACAGTTGTAACACAAAAAGTAAAAGACCCAGAGACAGATATTGGGGTTTAAGCTTCAAGCTGAAGATCAGAGAAGCAAAGCATCCAAGCCACTAGTGCTGGGAATAAAGGTGTGGGATCCCAAGTGCTGAGATCACCTTTGTGTGAGCTCTTTCTCTTTAGGACTGGATCAATTTTATGTAGCTCAGTGTGAGATCCATTTACCTCTACCTCCCAAGTGGTGGGATTAAAGGTGTGTACCACCACTGCCTGGCTTCTACAGCTAACTAGCGAGGCTGTCTTTGCTTTCTGTACCCTCAGGCAAGCTTTAATAAATCATCTCACATATCACCACAGACAGTGGTGAAGGAGCATCTCTGCTGTCTTTGAGCTCACAGGCTAATGGACCATGCTATGCACTCTTTGTGTATGTATGAAACTTCATCACCAGCAGCCTCATCCAAACTCCAATGCAACGCAACCAGGCATATGAACTTTTCACTCAACTTCTTAAAACTTGTAAGACTAGGTTCATTCTCAAGATGCTCTATAATTCTGATCTTTGATGGTCCTGTGAAGACAGCTATCTGACATGGTATTTTTTAAATCAGCTATGATAAGGTTCTCTCATTATACACAATCGTCTATCAAAATCTGTACACACGTACTCTTGATACAGAAAATTATATCCTAGTGTTCCTTATGTCTACACTCTTCCCTACCCCAACATACTTCACTACCTAATTTCTAGCTGCATACATTTCATAGGCAGAAGAACATAACAGAATCAGAAGCCAGGCAGAATCCTGTGATCATACTGTATTACATATGTAATTACAGATCATATTAGCACTATACGGTATACTGCAGATAGAGGGGGAAAGGACTGTAGGTGTTCTTACTACAGAGGAATTATGAATGTTTGAACAGGCTGATCTACCCTGGTCCACAGTTTACAATTTATATATTAAAATATCACATAGAATTTCCTAAGCACATGTAATTTCTATGTGTCAATTTAGAAATGTTTTTCAGGTATTACAAATTAAAAGATGGGTCTGGAGAGATGGCTTGGCAGTTAGGAGCACTTGCTGATCTAGCAGAGGATCAGGGTTCAGGTCCCAGCATGCACAGAGTAGCTCACAGCCGTCTGTAATTCTAGCTGGGCGGGGGGGGGGGGGAGAATCTGATGCTTTCTTCTGGCTCCCATGGGCACCAAGCACACACATACGGTACACATACATACAGGCAAGTGTTCATACACATAAAATAAAATAAATAAAGCAAAGCAAAGGAATACTATAGTCCTGTCATCATGTAGGAGGGCAGTTTACCTTGCCTAGTCAGCCTACACTGTACTCCAAAGAACAGTAAATAATAATAAAGTTACATAACATCTGTAAAGTGATGTAAAATATACCCTCTCAAAGCATTTTGTCCTCTGTCATAACATCATATATAGGAAACCACAGAAGTATACGATCATCAGGCTCTAAATGAAAACCAGGACAGTATTTCAACTTCCTATTTATTCTTTCTTTGTAGTTTTGATATATGAATATACTTTTTTGTTTTGCTCATTTGTTTGTTTGTTTTTTGAGACAGGATTTCTCTGCATAGCACTAGCTATACAGAAATTCACTTTGTAGACCCACTGGCCTTGAACTCAGAGATCCACCTGCCTCTGCCTCCTGAGTGTAGAAATTAAAGTTGTGTGCCACCATGCCTGGTTCAGCTGGATATACTTCAATTTTCATTTGCAGAAGGCAATGGATAATATCTTTCTAATGTCATAATATGGGAAGGTGTGAAGTTGAAACTGCCAAATAGAGAGAAAATAAAATATAAATGAGATTAAATCATCGCAACAATGAATGAGCCTCATGATTTTTAAAGCAGACTTCCACACTCTGAAATGGAAATGAATCATCAAATAGTTCAAATTTCAAGAGAAAACATGAAATTCGTGTGCTTTCTTAACTTTCGGCATTGTGTTCTTCCAGTGTTAAAAATCAAGATTTTATCAGCGCATGATAAAGGCTCACATGCCGAAGTCAATGTGAAAATAAAAAAAGTCTTACAGTCGACGAAACTGAAGATCTTACGAGGCAAGAGAACCCTGTATCCAGAGTCCTGGACAAACAGAGGCTGCACTTGCCCGATCCTCAATCCAGGTAAGCACTAATTAGGCTTAATGAATTAATCTTGTCTAGCTGTCTTACATCCTCTGACGCAAAACTCCGTAACTTCTGAATACCGGGGAAAATTCAAAAGGAATTCTTTGAACTGACATTAAGAATACAAAACCCAATCTTCTCCATGTGTTCTATAAACATAAAATATTTTAAAATCCAGCAGTATAATACTTTCTGTCCTGAAAGAGAAGTCTCAGATTGGTTCCAGGTGCCCACTGCATCGAAAGGACTTTCCTGAGCTATCTACCATTTGTGTGTTATTTGAAAGGTAGGTCCCCTTCATGCAAACCTGTTCCCAAAGGAAGCTCCGATTCGAAAGCACATCTGTGCCAATCACTCTGAAACCGTTTCTACTATTGCATGAGAGGGCATCTGTTCCCCCTGGAGAGAAAACAACTCTCAAGTTTTCATCATGTTGTTTTTCATTAAATGATCGTTCTGGCTTTGGATGAGAAACAGCAGGGGAAAATAATTTAAATACAATCTTAGAGAAACTTGGAACAGGAGCAAGGTTTGACTTGAACCTGAAAAACATACGGCAGAGATGATGGTGACAGCAGTCACTGATGCACTTGAGACCCTGGCAATGGTACTTTGAGAATGGAGGACCAGCTGAGGTTCATCTGTGACAACAGATGTAGGGTTCATCTGTGACAGCCTTCCATCGGGGTGTGTGAGAACTCTGCTAACGATACCAAAAACTGTAGCCTACGTATCCCCCTTGCTAAATTCGGAAGCAGGGTATAGATTTCTGATCACAGTACATCTTCAATGCCCATCCAGCATCAGCACCCAAATATAACATACCGCACAGACGATAGCGCCTAAAAGCCTGCTTCCGGTTCCTGCACTTGGTGACTTCCTGTTGGTGCAGTCACGCCTGTGCTTCAGGATACTGCTAAGACAGGTTCATCATTTATATTCTGCATCTAATTTCTTCCCCTAACGAGCTAGGAAAGCACAGTTATGTATGAAAGAGCTCTTTTTTGTTTTTAATTAACAAATTAAAAGAAACGGATAACAGAGAAAAACTACAAATATCCCCTTAATCTAAACATAACCAGCGATTTAAAATAAAAATAGTTTTCTCAAGTTAACTAATTTCTTATAACCTCTTTCTTTTCTCTAATATTTTACTTAATTTCACTTAAAGTTCAATAAGATAGAAAATAAACTTTTTTAATTATAAGAATAAACAGTTCCAAAGCATAAATATGAAGAATAAGTAAGAATCTCGGATTTTTGAATACAGGAAGCAAAGAATCATTCATTTAAATTCTGTTTCCCAATGATCTGCACTTAAGGACTCTTATGAGCAATTTTCTATTATCTTGGCAAAAGGGGAGGGGGAGAAAGCCTGTCCAGTTCTGCAGAATGACATTAAAAACAAAAGCTTTGACCATCTGAGCTGCCCTCCAGGAAGTGAGCTATATTTCCTGCTCGGGTTTCTGCCAGAGTTCAAGAACCAACTGAGCTCATCACAATTGAAAACATAAGTGCAATTATTCAAAGAATTCTTGAAAACATGTTTACTTGCTTTGAAGAAAAATCTAGAAGCTGCCAAAGCAGAACCAGACACTGTTTTATTTTGCTTTTGTTTTTCCATTTTTACAAGTGTATGAAAACCAAAAAAGACTGATTAAAAAAAAAGAAAAGAAAAACTCTGTATGCCTCAGCTTATCTCCTGTGCTGCCTTTGAAAAGGAGTGAGCTACTGGCCACCCGTGCCAGGCCAGTCCTCTGTGACTCACGCCTGCATTCCATCAGTCCTATGTCTTTGAATACCAGCGCTAGCACCAAAGTACACTGCCTTTTTCATAGATAAAAAGCGCTGTGCCCTAACCATATAACAAAGCAGGCATCACACTAGTAAAGACAGACAAGTTAAACACAAGTGATACTAAGGGGTGTAAAGAAGACCTTGTGTTAAGTTGTGGTTTGATGGAACTCCCTACTTTCAGGGTTACTCGGTGTCATCCCTATTAGTTTTATATGAATACTTTAAATGGAATTCCTGTGCTATTTTTCTATTTCTGCCTTTAAGGTACCTTAAAATACTGGTCTTGATCTACAACTTGTTTTGTTATTGTTATTATTTTAAGCCTTTATCTTTGTGTATTCCTGTTTTGCCTGCATGCTTGTCTGTGTAACATGTTCATGCAGTACACAGAACCCAGAAGAGGCTGTCCGGTCTCCTGGGACTTGAGTTACAAGCAGGGGTGAGATGCCAGGTGGGCTCTGGGAATTGAACATGGGTCCTCTGCACGAGCAGTCACTGCTCTTAACCACTGAGTCATCTCACAAGCCCCAAAGTTTTTGTGAAAGAGAATTTTATTATTTAAACATTAAGCAATGACAAGATATATACACTTATAAGTTTTGAAATGCTTATTGTATTTGTAAAAAGAGAACTTTATTATTTAAATATTAGATGATAGCAAGATTATATGTACATAAAACAAACATACAAAGTACATATAGCTTGCATGTTTGTTTTAACCCTGGTCATTGTACATTGCCAGGCAAGAATTCGGCCTCTGAGCTACATCCCAAGTCCTTTTTATTTTCAGACAAGGTCTTGCTAAATTGACCAGGTGGCCTCAGACTTAGGGTTCCCTTACCTTAGTGTCCCAAGTAGCCATAATAACTAGGATTACAGGCATGCATCCCTACACATGGCTCATAAATTTAAACTGACATTTATTTTAATTTTAACATCTAGAGTTTTAATTAAGATTTTAAAGCATAGAGCTCTTTGTCTTAGAAAGTTATAAGCATAATTATTTTTCTAGTCCCATATTTTATAAAATTGTTTCTGAATATCAAAATTATATATATATATATATAATGAGGACTATTATCTCCCTAACTGGTACATAAAGAGACAATCCATCACCGTGTATTTGTTTACCAAAATATTTTACTGAAAGCCTGAAAAAAAATGTATTATAAGGGCAGAACTAATTGTGGTCAAGTCTCATCGGGTTTTTTTTAATCTTTGCTTTTGCTTTATTTTGTTCACAAACAAGCTCCTTATATTCCTCAGATACAACTATAGAGATTACATGTCATTTTATGTCATTCACAACTCTCTTCCAACATGTTCCAAGTAGTTGCTTTATTTTTGTAAAGTCCTTTTTCTGTTTTTTTCAGACAGGGTTTCTCTGTATGGCCTTGGCTGCCCTGGAACTCACTCTGTAGACCAGACTGACCTGGAACCTACAGAGAACCACTTGCCTCTGCCTCCTGAGTGCTGTGATTAAAGGCGTGTCTTTCTTAATAGCTGCTACCACACACACTGATCTCCAGGGAGACTGACAAGTCCAGTGCCCATTGATCCCTCACATGTCTCCTGCAATACACAGGCCAAGAATCAGACAGTCCTGAGTTTGAGTCTCAGTACTGCTACTTAGGAGGAAGACCTGAATAAGTGACCTAAAGGTGTCATGACTCTCCATCTTATCCATGCCTACATACAACTATGAAGTAGGGATGTCTGAAATTCCTGAAGTCACATCCCCTTTTTTAACAGAGTATAATGTATGCATCTCCTCTGTGCTTTCAGGTCTGGAGTACCTTGTAGCTGGACATGAGGATGTAAGAACAGGCAAACTGGTTGTGAATATGAAAAGCTTTGTCCAGCGCTGGAAACCAGCTCTTGGGAGAAGAGTCATGCACATCTTAAAAAGAGAGTGCAAGTAGCACTGGAGGTGTGAAGTAGCACTGGACATGTGAAGTAGCACTGGCGGTGTGAAGTAGCACTGGACGTGTGGAGTAGCACTGGAGGTGTGGAGTAGCACTGGCGGTGTGGAGTAGCACTGGACGTGTGAAGTAGCACTGGACGTGTGAAGTAGCACTGGACGTGTGAAGTAGCACTGGGCGTGTGAAGCACCCAATGGGCTCTTCTCTGGGTAGATACACAAGTGTAACAAAAAAGAGACCTCGAAATGAAACTGGAATATTTTTTAAGTGCCAAAAAGTAGAAAAATGTTCCAATGCATAGGCCTTGTCTGGCCTATCTGTCCTGGATCTGTGTTTAAATACAGCGTTGTTTCATAAAGAGAAGTGAAAATCCCTGCGCTGATAGCTGCTTCCCGTGGAACTGGTTTCGAATGTCACAGCTATGGAGAAAATTTTAATAGCAACGTGATCGTTAACAGTCACCCCTTAAGGGCTGTATCCCTGACAAGTTCTCCCCCAGTTTTAGATATGCCATGTACATTGTATTTGATGCTATTTAAGGAATTAATGAGACTTTAGGGACCCCCCTCCACTCTTCCATCAGGAAAGGCATTTCTTAAAAAGGGCCTTGTCTTGTGTGCTGGGTATGGACGTCGGCGTGTGGGATATGAAAGGAACGTCTCTGTGTATATATAGTATTTCTTCGCGTAAAGCACTTTACCTACCACTGATGTTGTGAGCGTTCTGAGACCGTACTGACAGGAAGAAGGGCTGGGTGAAGACTTGCTGAAGCATGACCACTGCCACTGTGGGTACACGGATGCAGGGGCCATGGATACAGACAGCTATGCTGACCCTGCGAGAAATGCTGTAAAGACACAACCTAAAAGGAGAATGTTTGGATGAAGTCTCTGAGAGGTCACAAGATACTAGTCATGATGAAACTTAAAAAGAGAGAGAGACCTTAAGAGGAAGAAACCATTAAGTGTAGAAATAGGCTTACATACAGGGAGAGTAGACTTTAAATGTTGAAAAGCTCTTTTATTTGTGATGCACTTGTACACACTTCAAAAATTATTGTAAACACAGAATCTGTTCTATTTTTGTGTCTAGTATTTAAACATGAACATTGGACCAGTTTTCTTTTCTTCTCTTATTAACAGTACATGGTCATGACATTTACCGGTTTCCTAACACAACATATGTATAGTTCACCAGATTACTGTATTTCATTATCTTTCATTTTCTTTATCCAGGCATAGCCACTCTGTGTACAGTTTCTGCTGTACTGGAATTTTACAAACCAGGAGCCACAGAGCCGAAACTTTAGGTTCATATCTAGATCATCTTTTTCCCTGAGATCCTGTGGACTCACAAATATACATTATATATGTATATGTATATATACATATATGTATTGCTTTGTGAATTTGTTTTTATATTTCATGTATGTAATAAAGGAATATGACCTACTGACCTTTGCCTCCTGACCAATTCTTCAATGGTGCCAAAGATTAATTTCCTTTAATAAGAGAATTCAAGTCTAATTCCTTAAATTAAGAAAATTAATTATGGAGGAGTGGCTTAGTGGGTAAATTAAAAGCATTTACCATGCAAGCCTTATGATCTGAGTTCAAACCCCAGAATCCACACGATAATTAAGAAGTGAACTGGCTTGGGCAAGTTGTCCTCTGATTTCTACATATGTACCAGAATGCATGCATGCCCACATGCCACACACACTAACGAAATTAACATTAAAAAAAGGTAATCCCACCACTCAGTGGGTAGAGGCAGGTGTATTTCTGAGTTCGAGGCCAGCCTGGTCTACAGAGCAAGTTCTACAGCCAGGGCTACACAGAGAAAGCCTGCCTCAGGAAAAAAATAAAAGTAAGAAAGGAAAGGAAAAGGGAGATGCCGCCTCAGCGGGGCCACAACAAGATGGAAGAGAGAACCAGCTCCCAAAAAGTTGTTCTCTAACCTGCGTACATCAGCTCTACACAAATAACCTTGAAAGAAAATAAATTATGGAGAAAAGACTGTGTCTCCACCCAGTTACTCTGAGATTTAGGAACAGAGTGGAAGCAAACCCAAATGGATTTTCTTTCTACAGCCTTTGGCCATCGCATTGCCATTTTTGAAACATACTTATTCTCTGTATTTTTTTGGTTGTGAGCCTAGCCTTTAACAGCCAAGGCATCCCTCCAGCCCAACATACTTATTTTTAGCTCATTTACTTTTTACGTTAGTGGGGAGTGCTCATGTCACAGCACTCATGTCTAGGTCAGAGGGCATCTGGCAGGGGTCGTCCTGCCCTTCCACTACTCCGGTTCCAAGGATCTTGCTCAGGTTCTCAGGCTTGGCAGCAAGCACCTTTACCTACAGAACCACCTCACCTGCCCTTAATAATGACAAGAGTTCAATGCTGAAAACCCAAAAGGGAGCTCATGAGGTGGCGCAGTGGGTATTCATACCTGTCACCAAACTTCACAGCCTGAGTTCAACCCCCAGGTCCCACATGGTGGAAAGAGAAAGCTGACTCCCAAAACCCATCTTCTGCTCTCCATACGTGGACAGACACACATAAGCATACACACGCAAATATTTGATGTTTATGTGTAGACCATGTGTGCATGTGTGTGTGTGTCTGTGTCTGTGTGTGAGAGACAGAGACAAAGACAGAGAGACAGAGACAGAGATTGGGACTATTTTCACATGTAGCATGTCTCCCAGCCTCTTACTTCTTCCTGTCTATCCCAGAAGGTGAACAAGGATCTATTTTTACAATTTGCCGGCAACTTATAAAAGATATTAGTTAGTATGCCATACCCAGAAAACGAGTTTGAAAGCATCTGCTATAGAATTTTCCCATTTCACTTCACTTCAAATATTATCTTTTGAAAGGAACAACAGAAATGATGGCTATTTAAAAAAAATAATGGAGCATCAAATGGGAAGCATTAAGTAGGGGGAAAACTTCAGAACAATGCATAATTATCCCCCAGCCTAAAGACACATTACTGGATTACATAATATCTTAGAACTTCTGAGAGACAGGTCATAGCAATATCTGTCCTTCGAGGGAAAACAGGTTCCCTCCAATATCCATGTGTACTACTTGACATGTTTTCACCGATCCTGTGTTGTTCTTGAATTTATTTTTCCTGACAATTAAAATTCAGTCAACCATTTTCAAAATATGGTCAAGTTAAATCATAACTAAAAGTTTAATTTATCTAACTTGCCTAATTGTTGGGCTTTTATGTTTTCCATTTCTGTAATCTTTAGGCATTCCCTGGCCTGAGGCCGCATGTTAAAGACTTGGTCACCAATCCTGATGGAACTTTCAGGAGGTGACGCCTGGTGACAGGAAGGGAAGTGCCCTTGGAGATGCCACAGCGCTTTCCTTCCTGGGCCTCTTTGCTCTTTGGCTACATTGAGGGGAGGAGCTTTGCTCTCCCACACCTCCACCATGATGTTCTGCCTCAGCACAGGCCCAAGAGCCACATGGCCAAGTGACCATAGATCAAAATTTCCGTTACTGTGAACTAGAATTAGCCCTTCCTCATTTAAGAGGTGTAGACGGAAGTTTCTGTTCCGCCCCACCCGGCAGCTGTTTAGTCCCAAATAAACACACAGAGGCTTATATTAATTAAAAACTGTTTGGCCAATAGCTCAGGCTTCTTATTGGCTAGTTCTCTCTTAATTATTAACCCATTTCTATTAATCTGTGTATCTCTGCGTGGTCTTGGCTTACTGGTGGTGCCCAGGTCTCTTGCTTCCTTGGCAGCTACATGGCGTCTCCTCAATTCCACCAACTCCCTTTCTCTATCCCTGTTTGGATTTCCTGTCTGGCTAAATCCTATCTGTCCATTGGCTGAAACAGCTTTATACATCAACCAATAAGAGAAACATATATTCACAGCTTACAGAAGGACATCGCCCATCAAGAGACTCACCTCAGGCTTTTGCCACAACAGAAAGCTGATAACACAAGTCCTCTGTGACTGGAATTTTCCTCTTTAAAACACCTCTCTTGCAACATTAAAAAAATCCTTCTTCTAATAATCTCATAATAGCTTGATTCTGAAATCACTTACAGTTTCTCAGGAGCACCCTTTGGTTCTCAAAGTGGGGAGTGGTGAACGTTAGGTCAGTCTTAGAGAAGGAAAAGGGAAGAACTCTTGTTCTGCTTCCCACTACATCACTCACACACACACACACACACACACACACACACACACACACACACACACCATCCCTGCAGGGGCTCTCTATGTATGTTCTCGTCTGAGCATTTTACAAAATAACCACCTGGGTACTGAGTCAACAGAATCAAATCAGACTTCCATGTATGGCAGCATATGGACCCAAACACATCCCTCAGGAGCTCCTGGGAAAGTCAATGCCCCTAGAGCTTTCTTCTGGGTACCGCTGGGCTTAATTAGTCAGCTGGTCACTGAGCAATTCCCACATACCTATCCTGATGTGCCTGAGGTCAACACGGTCTGTGCCCTCCTGCTGCATCATTTTCCCTGTAGAGGAACGCTGCTAATGTTTAGCATTTGATGCAATGGAAAGTCTCAATAATAGATAATCTTTTAATAGTGTCCATGTAATGAGGTCAGATCTGGGGTTGTGACCATGAGTCAAGCAGCAATGTGCATCTGGCTGTGTGAAGCAAACAGCAAGGCCTAGTATGGGTAAACAGTTCTTCCAGACACTCTAAGTTCTTGCAAGACAAATCCTTTTCTAAATGATCAGAGGGTGGGAAAGAAGCCCTTGAAAATGGCCTGTGGTGGCTGTCCCTCTGCCACGCCCCTGGGACGCCTGAGAATAAGGGTGAACGCCCTGTTGGCCTCTTGTCAGAGGCCCCAGGACCGAACTGCTTTGTGTTCATTGTCTAGATGATAAGCAGTCCCCTGATGTAACCTTACCAAATAGCCAGCGCTACTCACCACTTAGTTCCCACAGTTTGGGAGGAAAACGTTTACGAACAGCTTCAATTCTGCAGGGGAGATTGGTGTGATAAGAACGGAGCAGAGGCAAAGGCGTGCGCCTCGCATGACTGACAGTTTGTTTTCAGTCCTTCTCGCGGAGAAGGGTGCATCCGGATGTACTTTCTCAAGCATGATGCTGCAGTTCCTGCATCGCAGCAAAGACATGCAACTGTTTCTGTCCTATTCAAATGTTAACGAATAAGCTTGAATCCTAGAATCTTTTAAATGATAAATGCTTAGGTCTCTAGTATTCACAGATGCTGAATAACTAAAAATGCAGAGAAAAGAGAAAGTCAAACACTAGAGTATGTCTAAAATGTGACACTGCTCATTCCGGGAAGGCTTGGGGACACACCTCCACAGTAGAACACTTGCTTAGAGTACCTGAGTGCCCTGGATTTGACAAGTCAGAGTGTGGCCCTCTGAACAGGGGGGAGCAGAAGCCAGATGAGGGGTCTTGTTTGCCGGGAAGAAGAGCAACTTCTTCTAGCAAATTTTCACAGTCTCGGTATAATGGCGGGCTCAGAACTTCTGGGTGCTACCAGGAGTAGTAAATAAAACTTGGTGACCCATGCCCAGTGTGGTGGCACGTGCCTTTAATTACACCATTTGGGAGGCAGAGGCAGGAGGCTCTCTCTCTGAGTTTGAAGCCAGCCAGGGCTACAAAGAGAGACCCTGTCCCTCCGCCTGCCACCCCCCACCCCGAAAAAAAAATCCAACAACAACAACAAAAACTTAGTGAATGAAAAACTAAAAGCTAACAATAACAATTAAGAATCTAAGATGGGGACAGGCAAAGGCACTTGCCACCTGGTGATGTATGTCTGACAACTGAGTTTGATCTCCAGAACCCACACAAAGATGGAGACAGAGAACTGATTCCACAGAGTTGCCCTCTGACCTCCCCATATGTGCCATTTGTGGTACACAGACCCATATGCCCACACACACAATACCGAATAATTACATTTTATTTAAAGAATTCTACAAGTGAGGTGCTTTTCTAAGTGCTTCTCGGGGTACCATTCTTATTTCATCCTCTAACACTCCTGATATGTGTAATGTGCCCATTTCCCAGATGAGGGAACTGAGGCAAAGAGAAACTGAGCTATTCGGGGGCATCTGCTCATAAGTGTGAAGCCCTGGATTTGAACCTATGCATTCTAATTCACGAAGTTCATGTCTCTCTCAAGGATTTGGGGATCAGAAAGGCATGTGTGGGAACTGATGCCAACTGTGACATTTTCCTGTCCGTCATTTCTCTTGGATCGTGACTGAGAGAAGAGCGTTGAAGGTCTACATTTCTCTTGTTTTCCTTCTCCAGACTTCAGGCTCCAGTGCATTTTATTACAGTCTGTAGTCAGAAGATTTTCTTCTGTCTTTGTCACAGTTACAACACTGCCTGCCACATTCCTTCTAAGACAAAAATGGCAAGAGCCCCTCTTTGGCCTTGGCTTTCCCCTCGGCCCTGCTCTG